ATAGTGCTACCTAGGAAGTTTTTAATTGTCCATTCTTTCTTTCTCCTCTCCTTTTCCTCTTCTGTTCCCTTCTCTCTCCTCCCTTTCCTATTCTTTCCCCTCCATTTTCCTTCACTTTAAAATATACAATTACTTTTAATGGAAGTTAACTGCATTTTCAAAGATTTGGTATTAAGCAGTTGGCTGTGGTTATCATAAAGGTAGTATAGGAAATTTTAAAACTAAAACTTGGAAAAAGGGATAAGAAAAGGAGGGGTTTTGTTTGGTGGGGTTTTTTGTGGTTTTGTTGTTTGGTTTTTTGGATTTTTTTTTTTTTTTTCCAAAAAAAGATATAATCCCAATACTCAGTAAAGCTTTGAGTATCTGTGTATTTTAATGTGTGTTATTACAGTTGAGGGAAAGAAGCACATCTTATTAGCATGATAAAAAACGTTGGCTTTGTTCTCTGCTGCAAAAAATACAATTTTGTAATATACTTCTTACTAAAAACTAAACCAACACCTAATGTGTTTGTGTATGTTACATTTAAATAGAATGTAATCAAAATAGCAACATAAGACATTTATAAAAGAACAATACAGAAACAATTGAATAAAAGCAGTATTGTGTCAAACCTGAAGAAAGGGAAGCTGACTTGTGGAGCAAAGTGTTGGGTTTTATAATAATACAACAAAATCAAAGGAATTCAAGAGAAAAGAAAATTAGGAAAATTTGTCTACATCAGTTTTAGTGCTGATATGAAAAATCAGGAAAGTTAGGACAAAAAAGTATTATTTTATGGGTAGTCAGTATATCCATTACACACTCTTATAAATTCTCATTTTATACTCTTAGAAGGTTTCTATATGGAAAAGAAGAATAAGTTGGACTTAATAGTGATACCTTATGTGTTCACTGATACAATGATCCATCTCAGTAAATTGCTTTTGTTCCAGGAATGTTTCTTCTAGGATATTTTTTTTCCTAAACTGTTTGCTATGCTGTGATTTAGATTAACTACAAGTTGAATTAAGCATGCTTTTTAAATAAATAAACTAGAAAACGAACTTCTAAAGAAAACCTATTTATTGTTACATCCTAAGTATGTTAAATGACAAAACCCATCTTCCGGAGTCACGACTATTCAATACATTACAAAGGATGTTGTCAATCCCCAAATTTGCTCTTTTCTAAGGGCTTTGGATTACACATTTGCTTGCTCTATTTTCATTAATTTATAGCACTGTACATTTTGTGAGTATAATTGTCCCATACATTACTTAATCTTTTTTTATTAGTTTTATTTCAATAAAAATAGGTATCAGAGAGAATCCTCTGAAGGACTCTAGGGTGGGGATGCTACTTCAAGTTCCATTTGTATACTGGCATCTCAGAATCCTACCCAATAAAAATAAAAATTAAATATATGAAGAAAAGTAGATTAACAGGGTAATTGTGGTTTGGGGGCCGTACACAAAATATTAAAGCAATTTTTTCAAAGTGCATTTTTCATATCAACTACTGAAAAATATTTCATAAGGCAATTATTCATGTTAGTGAATATTATATTATATTAATTATACCTGATCTATCACACTATATATCTTTATTCACAGGTAATTGTTTATATTCACAGTTATTTAAGGCACTACAAGTTTTATTCAAAAATAATGCAATAATTATACATTGTAGTGCAAAGAATGGTGGAAATTCCTGACAGAGCCTTTCTCCCTGATTTTTAAAATGGTTGTGTTTGTTTCTGTGTGTACATTTTAGGGAATGACTTAAGCCTCGATATTGTCTCCATATATATTAATGAAATTTATGCCCATGATTTCACTGGCAGTAGGATTCACTACCTGTCCTGGTTTCAGCTGGGATAGTTAACTGTCTTCCTAGTAGCTGGTACAGTGCTATGTTTTGAGTTCAGTATGTGAAGAATGTTGATAACACTGATGTTTTCAGTTGTTGCTCAGTAGTGTTTAGACTAGAGTCAAGGATTTTTCAGCTTCTCATGCCCAGCCAGCGAGAAAGCTGGAGGGGCACAAGAAGTTGGCACAGGACACAGCTGGGACAGCTCACCCCAACTGACCAAAGGGATATTCCAGACCATACACTGTCATGCTCAGCATATAAAGCTGGGGGAAGAGGGAATGTGGGGATGTTTGGAGTGATGGCAATTGTCTTCCCAAGTAACCATTACATGTGATGGAGCCCTGCTTTCCTGGATATAGCTGAACACCTGCCTGCTGATGGGAAGTAGTGAATGAATTCCTTGGTTTGTTTTGCTTGTGTCCGTGGCTTTTGCTTTACCTATTAAACTGTCTTTATCTCAACCCACAAGTTTCTCACTTTGACCCTTCTGATTCTCTCCACCATCCCAAACCAGGGGGAGTGAGCAAGTGGCTGGGTGGTGCTTAGTTGCCGTCTGGGGTTAAACCACGATGCCTGTAAGAAGAGTTTCGTTTGTATACAGAAAGATGAATGAGCTGGTTTTATACTTAAATAACAGATATGTACCTTAAAAAAATTAATTAGTTTATTAAGTATTTTCTTTCATCTTCAACATATTTCAAAAATGTAAAACACTTAGCAAGCAGTGAAAGTTTCACTACTCTTAGATTATTCTTAAGCCCTGCACTTTTGTGGCATACTGTGGGACAGTTCCTTAATCTTACTTAATTATTCTAGATATTCTTTTACAACTGCAGTATTTAAAGTATTCTGATCAAGAATGGTTCTTCTCTTTGTTTTCCAGGAAGACATAGTTATAATTTTTCTCTTGTGTATAAAATATATCCACATCATACCACCACTGATACCAAGTGGTTCCAGTTTTTGAGGACATATTATGTGATCAGATTTTAGTTGGGTTAATTCCATAAATGTATTTGTAAGAGTCATTGTATCTACACATATAGTGCTCTGCAGGGGACTCTAAAGTAGATACTGATTCTTTAAATACTGCATATATTAGTAATTTTATTCATTTAGTTAGGTCTCAGGAGTCACTCAAGTGTTTATAGAATCAGATCCTGAGGTTTTATGTAGTTAACACATTCGTGTTTTATAAAGTGTAGACTCCTAGTCGTGCTTTTATGTTGTTTAAATTTTAAAAACATTTACAGTAACACTAACTTTTAGTATACCCTAAGGTTTATTTTTGGTGAAATTATTCAGCCTTGGAGAGTAATCATGGCTGAAAGGCAAGTCAAACACTGCTACTGCTTGGTTTAGATTTTAAATTTCATCTTACCATAACTGAATGTTATTTATCATAATCCTTCTCTTCTCCAAATTCTGTTCTTATTCTCATGATGGTACTTTATTTTTTCCTGACATGGTTATATGTTATAGTTTGGTATTTGTAAATCTCATGAAAACGATAAAGCTAAAATATGCTGGAAGACACACGATTCTACTGTTTTGTTTACAAGAAAACAGTTACCATGTTTCAATTGCAAATTCATGCAAAGTACTCATAATAGAGTGTGAAATGTAAAAGTTACTGTTTTTCTAAAATTCATTAAATCCCTTTAGCTCCACATGTAATGGGACCTCTGTCTGCTGCAGAAACTAAAGGAATAGAAATTCTAATAAATCTGGGCTCCAAAGAATAACAAAGAGTACTGACAAATAATTATACTTTCAGTAATACATAACTTGAAAAGCAAGCCTAAAGCAGCTATTAAAACACTCCTCTATAATGAAAAAACTAGACTCCCTAGAGACGGAGAAAGAGACTACTGGCTGCTTCTCAAGACATTACAATTCTATATCCACTTGTAAGATAATACAGCCCCTGTTTCTCTGGGCAAGACAAATACTGATGTGCTTGAAGTAAAGTTCATCCAGTTTATGTCATTCCCCAGTACAAATCTGACATCTGGAGAGCTCAGCACAGAGCTTGCAAACAGCGAGCAGGCAATTGCTATAGAGACAATAAAAGGAAGCTTTCTTGTAAAGGCGGGGTAATGGTCCAAGAGCTCTGTGTGGATCGAAGTTTCCAAGTGTGTATTCAACATTGATATTCATAATATACAGTACTATGGTAATATATAATACTGCATTCCCATAAAGGATCCTGGAATCCAACATTCTTTTCCTGGATTTTGTATCTAGATTTGTTGCCGTACATTACAACAACAATATTCTTAGTGCTGTAAAATATTCTTTTTGGCAAACTCTTTTACCTGTTTTGTGCTTCTGATGGCATCTCCAGGTAGAATCATAGAGATAGGTTTAGGTTTAGGCTGTGTGAAAGATTGCTGCAAGAGATTCAGTCTTGATTTCTGAAAGCATGTCCTAAGTTCACACCCATTTGCTTCCCAAATCAATTTTTTTTGTTGTTGTTATTACTTAATATGCATTTCCATACACCTCCTCTTAAATATGTGCAAACATGCCTAATTCACTTTCAGGTCCTTAGGATAACTAAGAACTCTTCCTTTGATCATCATAGCCATCTGTCATTTTAGGTCTTGAATACATTGTTGAACTGGCAGATCATAGCACCAGTAATTCACCATTAATGTGCACGTAGCTGCATCTAGATGTGTAGACCAAGGATGGTTGATACTGCTCTCCATGAGGGAAAAATGGAAGTTATGAACTGTATGAAGGTGGCTTGAACATGTATCAGATGCCCACTGCCAGCTAAGAGAAAGGAAACTTCCATATTTTTTTTCCAGATTCATGTCTCCTGTTGTCACAATCCAAACATAAAATATCAATTGCCATCAAGGTCCTCAATTGTTGCCTATGGCTTCTGTAACACTGACATTAAATTCTTTCAGAAGCATAACTTGCTCAGTCACAACAATGATTTTATGCAGATGGAGAAAAAAAGGGGGCTATTAGCACTCAGCAAGAAAGCTAAGTTTGGAACCACTCAACTATTAGAAAATGGGACCCGTAAGTTGCAAGTGAAGCAAACACATTATGAAATTGCCTGACTTTTTTTTTTAAATGTATTGCTTCATCAAATTTTGTTCCCATATTTTTTCTTTCCTTTCCTTTAGCAATGGTTGTTCTCAGCAATTTGGAACCAAATACAACATATGAAATCAAAGTAGCTGCTGTAAATGGAAAAGGGCAAGGAGAGTATAGCAAAATTGAGATCTTTCAGACCTTACCTGTCCGTGAGTAATACTTGTGCTATTAAATTAAAATGTAAATGATTATTAGAATATGTTATCTCCAGATCAGCTAATAATTTAAAGTATGATTCACTGTGGATAATATGTTTTATATTTATACACTACTTCCCAGTGTATAACATCAGTCTTTACATTGTTTATCAGAAATCATGTTTTGTTCCTCTTATTCCCCTCCACCAAGTAGTATGAATGAACTTAAATTGGAGAATTTATCCCATTATCTATACTTTTGAGACTTAGACAAATCTTTGCTTTATATTCAAGAGCACAAACAATGAAAGAGATTAAGGACTTTTTCTCACTTATACGCAGAGTATTAGAGACATCTGTGAGAAATTAACTGGACCTTTCTAGAGACATTTCTTTAGCAAACTATGCTGCCACAAGTTTTGCAATTATTAAGCCTCAGACAGAAATCTTAAGTGATGGAAAAATCATGAGAATAAATGTTTTTAACTACAATTACATGCAAATGATAAATGCTACAAAGCCAATTCTATATTTGTAGTAACCTCTATAGGCAAGAAATTCTGATTTAAATATTAAGGGCTCATGACAGATATTTTTCTCAAATTACTTTTCAATAGAAAAATAATAAACAAACTAAACACAAAGGGAGAAATAAAATAACTACTAGATGGCACTGTATAGTACTTAAACAGATATACCAAAATACATCAGCAATTATTACTAGACTAATCTCTCATAAATCTGTTGCAACTGAACTGTTGTCTGAGTAGAGCATTACTCAATATAGTTATCAATACTGGCCCTAATGGAATGAAAATAAAAGTCACACAACTACAAAGAACACAAAATATTTCTGTGTTACTATATTATGTTCTTATTGATACATTTCTTCTGTCCAAAACCAGTAACTTGGCAGCTTTCAAATTTCTTTTTGATTAAAGTATATGCATATTCTAAATATATTGGACAACAGATAAAATAATTTGCTATTATTCATATGGAACATTATACCTGATAGAAAAGTGATAGAAACTGATAGAAATTATATATATATTACCTGACAGAAAGCTAGGCAAATTCTATGTTGAGATCAAAGTCAATTTGTCTTTACTTTGATAAGGGATAAAAACAAATATTACAAATATGTCTAAAGAACTGTATCTCTCTAGTTGAATGCAAATTTACACATATTTTGAAGGTAAGACACTTCAGAATGGCAACACATGTTCATTTAGGATCTGATTTAAAACTATAATAGGCATTGTGTATAGAAATGATAATTAGTCTTAATTTCAATTAGCAAAGTGGCTTAAACTGGCTATTAATGCTTGAATTGTATGTTTAAGATCATTTGTGTCCTTTCATTACAGAGAAAATTGTTTTTGCTTTTGGAAATGTTATTCTTTACATTTCTTCTTAATATAGACTACTCTAAAAGTATCTAATTTTCCTTGGCACATTTATTGAAGCATTAATGTACCTAATGTCTGTATTACAATTGAGATCTTGACATGGGACTAAAGCTCATGCTTAATGTTAAGGATGCTTTCCTGTAAGATAGTGTTACTCTTAAACTTCAGTGTGAGTAGCAGCTTACCAGCCTTGCTGAATTGATGGCTAAATAATTTCTGAAGTAAATTGCATCTGAAAGTGTCAAAACTTGGAAGGTCTCAAAGAAACAAATACTTCTTTCATACTGCACATAATTTTGTTTCCTCGTGTGAGATAATTAATCTACGTTAGAACATACTTTAAGCAAAATATTTAACATACTTCTTAAGGATGTTCTGCAGTGCTTGGAAGGATCATGTTGCTTTTAAAGATTTTGATTAATAATATTGTGGACAAGTTCCCAGCTGTAATTTAAGGCTTATTTTATTGCTGAATTATTAATAGCTACTGTTTTTTCCTTGTTTAGGCGAGCCAAGCCCCCCTTCAATTCATGGACAACCAGGAAGTGGGAAGAGTTTTAAAATTAGCATAACTAAACAAGATGATGGAGGTGCCCCCATTTTGGAATATATTGTCAAATACAGAAGTGTAAGTATTTCAGTTAATCAAAATAAGTGGGTTTTGCTTAGCAATATCTGCTTTTAATGTGAAGAAGACTGTTGATATAATTTGAAATGTAACAAAATGGTTTGCATACTACAAAAAGAAAAGAAGATACAGTATAGTAAGTTTTCTTTTTTGACTAGGTTGCTAATGTCAGATTATAAAATAAATTAAAAAAAAGAAAAGCATCTGTATTGATAGATAGCATCCTAGAGATAGAAAGCTATATTCTAGTGGTCCATATTAATTTTAATGACAGTAATTATCTGATCATGTTTCCTGTTTTCTATCTTCCTAGATTCCAAGGCTCAACTTACAAAAGCCAAATAATTGACAAATTACTAGCAATTTCATGAGTTTCAGTGTATATATCAGTTCTTTAACAGCCATTGTGCAGAGTTTATTTGCCTTCTGTTACTTACAGTCTGATTTGGTGTTCTCTCATCAAATCTGGCAAGTTTAGAAAACAGGCTTTTCTGCAATGCGTAATTATTTTTAAAACAAACAAACAAACAAACAAACAAACAAAAACCCAACTAAAAACCCAACAACAAAATGTGGATTTTTTTAAAAATTATTAAAGTAGCTAAAATATCTTTCCTTCCCTGATATACTATGTTTAGAAATGATTGGGTTGAAGAAGTAACTATAGATCTGGCAAAAACAATGAATTTAATTAAGAAGTGTGTATTTTGTAATAACTTCTTTGTGTTTTTTTAGGAAGACTATATAACTTTTATCTGACTAGACCCACTAAAAATACATTTTACATAGTGTAACAACAGATTTACATGTCTGTTTAGAAAGTCTAAAAGAGATTGGGAATGTAACATCAGATATTTAGACATGTTAAACAAGATAGTGAGGACTGTATTTAACAGAAATGAGCAATCTTTGAGAAATTAAATGCAGAAACTGTTTTAGTGTTCCCAAAAAGGAAAAGCCAGTTCCTTATTTTGTAATAGTTTTTGTTACATTTCCTGATGTTTCCTGTAGTGTAACTTTTTTATGATAGTTCTGGGATTATGCAAGTGCTAAATCTGGCATGTAAAATGATTTTCCTAAGCTAAGTATAACCAAAGAAGATTGGTAGGTCCAAATCAATTGAGAAAAATTTGCTAGAGCTTTTAAGAATAGCCTGAGGGAATAACCAGCAGTTATTCTGATATCACTGGTCCTTAAATCTTAATTGACCTTCTTAAATGACTTTCAGCCTAGTGAGTACAGTTGGCATAAAGGAAAAGTAATTGTAAAGGAAAGAGAGGCTAGTAAAATATGCAACACAAGATACAATGCAGTTTTGTGGGATTGAGCTTCCTAGTTAGAATACAATGCCTCTAGGTATTTATAATTGACAAGATAAGAAAATAAACTGTTTGTATATAATATATACATGCAGTATATGGAATTCCATCTGTTTCTGTGATTTAAGTAAGCTAAATGATTTTGGATCTATCCTGAATATTTTTTGAAACCTGATTTTGATTTAGTGTTTTGACTAAGGTACAATATTATAGAAGAAAAGACCAGTTTTCATGTGTATTGTTGAAGGATAAATGTACAGTTTAAGCAGTAACTGGAAACTTAATAGGTTACTGAAGAAGATAGCTTTTACTTGGACCTCAAATCCATATCTCCTTCAGCTTCCAATTGAAAAAGCAATTTGACTAAATTAAAGGCCTTCCTACAACAAAAAACTACAATATATTTTTGGTGTTTTAATCAGAATGAATGGATGCTATTTAAAGTTCTTAATTATCTGTTGACTGCTTCTCCTCTATCTTCCCCATTGGTCATATTTAATTAGCTTTCCTAGAACTCTTGCCAGCCTCATTAGTAGCACCTGGACCAATGTATTTGCTTGCATGTTTAAAGAGCGTATTAGATAACAGGCTATACATCAGTGGCTTTTTCTTCTTTGTGTTTCACAACAGCTTATGTCTTATTAAGAGTCAGTTGCCTCATGTTTAAGTTTTATACAGTTGGGTATTTTGGTTTTTTGGGTTTTTGTTTTTGTTTTTCATTGGGAGAAGGACAGCCTTTAAGATATTATAGCAATATTATAGCCTGGATTAGGGCAATTGGTAAGTTTTATTTTTCTGGAAATCACGTGTTTCATTCTGTCAAATATTGCTTTCCTAACATCAGTTTATTCATATTATGGGCAGGAGTTACTAACTATAATGAGATAAGAAGCTTCACATTTTGTTCTGTATTCCAGAGAAGTAGGTACTATGCAATTTTTATGAGTAGCAGCCTCAAATTGATTTATGCTGTTGCACGAAGGAAGTCAAGACAGTCTTACAAAGCTTCACTGATGGAATCTGAAGCTGATAGCATACATTGATTTCAAAGTTACCTTAGGAAAGAACAGGAGGAGAGAGAGAAAGACAAGGGAAAACTGTTCCCCGGTAGCCAGCTGGGAAGAGTGGTGATGGGGGTTCCCTAGACATGTGTCCTGTCTGATGCGGGAGGTGACTGCCCAACCACATTTCTCATAGTAACTGTGTAATTTTAATGGGGACCAACTCAAGCTCCCCTTTGGCTGTTTCTGCTTATGGTGCTATTAAAGTTGATTGGGGCACACGTGATGAGGTGCTGGTATTGCACAATGGATGTTAAGCTTTATGTATGTGGAAATGTGTGCTGAATTTGTAAATGCTGTTTTCTACTTTGTTATTTACCAAGTACATAGTAATAGACTAAAAGCTAGAGGGGAGGGTTGAAGAGATTGTGCAGACTAAGGGGAAGGTGAATTGATAAGGAGGGCCAGGAGGAAGGAGCACTTGGGATACAGGGGAAAGACTGCCACAGCAGCTCAGGGCAAGTGGGTGACCAGGCACAGACCTGCAAGAGAAAGGCAGGCTACAAAGCAGCCTTAACACAAGTTAAGCTTAGCTCCAGAAACAGCATGCAAACAATGTGTGATCACCATACAGGAATAATCACTTACACATGACTCACATAGTCACAAACAAAAGTTTGTGCTTACCACTCAAGTGCATTTTGACCATGATGAATATTCTGTAGCTGCACATGTTACCCATTGTTCTCTGTAAATATGTATCACTATTATCTTGAAGAGATTTGTTCCCAGCCTTAAGTTAAGATTTTGGTATCGTATCCTGAATTACTTCATAATACTTAAAAGCAAGTATTGAAATAGGCTTCTTAGTGATTGGAAAACAGAATTCTGTTTCTATACTTTTCGGTCACAGAATGCCAATAGTAAGCTAGAAAAAAAACGGGGGCAGGGGGTTGTTTTTGTTTTTCCCTGGCAGGCCAAGTTTCAGTAAAAAATTAAAATTAGAATGAAATAAGTAAAATATCTACTTTTACAGTTATAAACTTTTAGATAGAAGAAAGAAAAATTAATTAAAATCCTGTTTTGAAAAAAAATAACTATTTATTTTTTACTTTTACATCCACAATGATGTTTGGAGGAAATGTGAGAGGAGCAATTAGTTTTGCAGGCCAGAAAGTTGTTAACCATGTTGACCTGTGACAGTGTTAATATTAATACTCGGAATTTTGGCATTGACAAGTGTTTGACTGATAGGTTATGTGCTTCATTCTTGTTTTACTATGTTGATGGAGGGCTGTGTTCATTTTGTTCCTTTATGATAGGTTCTGTAACAAAACTCTGTAAATATGAATCATTTAAAACGAGATACTTTCTCATTTACTCCCACTCTGATATACCTACCATAAAAGTTAAATGTTTTTGCATCTCTAAGTTCCTCTTTACCTGCCAGATCCTCGGACTTTCTATGCATTTTAACACTATGTACGTTATCAGCCATTTTGTGTTTTGTTCAGTATTTGTCCTGTATTACCCAGACGTACAAAGCACCATCCTAATGTAATGAATTCTTGTGAAGTCATTGCTTTAAACTATCAGGTTGTCTTCATGAGGATTTCTTGATGTTTTTTCCTGCAAGCTTTCAAGACAATGTGGCATCTCCTGCCCTTTTTTTTATCACAGGGACCACCATAATAACAAGTCAGTTTGAGCTGAACTTTCAGCACAACAATTTAGGGAGGGTGGAGAATAAAGGGAAGTGTTAAAGGGGGTTAATCACTTTTCCTCACTTTTTATGAGCTCCCAGAGAAAGTGAACTTGGGTACAATGTAAAATGACCATTAAAGAGAGAGATGTTATTTTCTAGACTAGTAAATAGTTAGGTGCCTAAACAGTGGATTGGCTTTACTTCCACTGTTGTCAGATGTGCCCTCAGTTTTGAGAAGCAGCCAAGTCATGGTAGACTGGAGTTTCACACTGCTTTGTTTACTCTTTTTTTTGTCAGGGTATTTAGGTGCTTAGGTTACTCACAGCTGTCTTACATATCTAGCTCTTAGACACTTCCGAGATTTGGCTGGTGCTTATTTTTAAAGCCAATACACATGCAATTAAGAAATAATAATTTTTTTTTTTAGTGTCATTAGTCTGTGGCATTGTGGTTTCAGCTGAAATAAAGTTAATTTTCTTCCTAGTAGCTGGTATAGTGTTATGTTTTGGATTCAGTATGAGAAGAATGTTGATAACACACTGATGTTTTCAGTTGTTGCTAAGTAGTGTTCATACTAAATCAAGGATTTTTCAGCTTCTCCTGCCCAGCCAACAAGAAGGCTGGAGGGGCACAAGAAGTTGGGAGGGGACACAGCCAGGGCAGCTGACCCAAACTGGCCAAAGGAATATTCCATACCATATGACGTCATGCTAAGTTTATAAACTGGGGGGAGTTGGCCTGAGGGGGATCGCTTGGGAACTAACTAGGCATCGGTCAGCAAGTGGTGAGCAATTGCATTGTGCATCACTTGTTTTGTATATTCCAATCCTTTTATTTTTATTATTCTAATTTTATTATTGTTGTTATTATTATCATTCTTAGTTTCTTCCTTTCTGTTCTATTAAACTGTTCTTATCTCAGCCCATGAGTTTTACCTGTTTCCCTCTGATTCTCTCCCCCATCCCACTGGGGGCAGGGCGAAGTTAGTGAGCAGCTGCGCAGTGCTTAGTTGCTGCCTGGGGTTAAACCATGACAGTTTGTTTCAACCAAAGACTTATACTGGGAAGAGGACGATATGAATCTAAGGCTTAAGAGTAATGGAAGTGGGCAGCAAGATCCCCAGAAATTGCCAGTCATTGGTTAGTCTCACAGCATCAGTGACTTTCTGCAAAGGAGTATTTCCACATTATATGAAACAAAACGAAAGGCAAATAAAGGAACAGTTTAATCTCTGAGGTTGCAGATCTGATTGCAGTTCCTGAAAATGTGCATTTGTTGGTGGATATTAATGATACAACTGCTAATAATAAGTGATTATTGAAGACATTTGTATTGACTTACCCCTCAAATTAGACGGTAGTTTGTGATTTAGAAGTTTATTTCATTTGTTGCAGAACACTGTGCATATGTGGAGCTTTCTACAAATTTTAAGCAGTATTAATAATAGAACAGCCTAATAAAGTATGAAGTGTTCTTTTGTAGTTCCATTTATTGCTCCTTAAGCTCCCAATTAAAGGGTCTTAGCATAAACAGGGAGATTCGTAGGAAGATTTAACTGACAAACTCTTGGTTTGGCTCTCTTTTCATTTCTACACTAATAGTAAAATAAATCTGGACACACTATTGAGCTCTACCTCGTAAAAAGTACTTGAAAATGCATGTGAAATAACAACTATAATGAAGGATATTGCAGTTCTTTTCTTTTTTTCTTGAAGATGCCAAAAGCAGACTGTATTCTAGAAGACTTAATCTGTTTATCTTTAGAAGAAGACAACTTGCTTTCCAGATACTTTATTCTTCTTCCTCCTAACTTGTGTTTGTCACTCTTCATAAAACATTTTGTTGCCTTTGAGCTCAGGGCTTGGACTTTGTTTCATTTATCTCAATCCACCCAGTTGGCTTTGCTTTCAACTAAACTTAGGGTGTCACTTCTCTGGCATAGCATGCAGGTATCCTGTTACATTTCAGCTCTTTCATTATTCTTCACCTGACCAAACTGTGGTACAACTGCCTTTTCACTTATTCTTGCATCTGCAGAAGAGCAACCTCATATAGAAATCTATATAGTTTTCCTTCCAAATCTTAAGCTCATTCTATTCATCACATATAATTCTACAGTTTGTTTTCAAAGTATAGTCATATATCTGTTTGCAATGCTGTCTTTTCTACCTGCAGGAACCATATTAGCCTGAATTTTTATTTTCCAATTCAGTAAATTTTTTCTTCTTCTATGATTCTGAATGTCTTTGGAATTCCTCAGTATATTCACACAGTTGTATGTGCACACACCACATTCATGTATGGATCTTCTGATTTCTCTCATGTTGATATTCTTTGGAATTGAGGTGTATTATTTTTTTCTTCTGATTTCTCCCAAACCTCACCAATTTAAACACTCATTAAAATATGGTGCTACATAACATTGCTATTCCTAATATTACTAAGGAGTATTTGCATATGCATATTGCAATCAGTATTAATGCCTTTTATTTTAGCAGTGCTATACAAAAAATATATTTTGTAAAAGTAGTTTGATATAGTGATAATATAAGTGGATTCACTCAGTGGAATGTAAATATGGGTGGATTCACTCAGTGGCATATCAGATGATTGCAACAGAAATTATCCACAAGAATATGGGAAAATTTCCTTGACCGATAATACCAGTTTCACTGTATGATTTTACTCCAGTGTATTTAGGTTCTTTCATGATTTGTAATGTGACTACCATTCTGATGTTTTTCATTGGTCTACTTACTGCTGCACCAAGTAGGCACTTTTACCCTGCTGCAAATGTTCCTGCAAAGATGTTTTACTGTATTTTAATCGTTCCCAGGACTATCATGGGTCAGTACCAATGCCAGTGCTGAAGAAGCAAGAAAGAGTTTAACAAAAGGTGAAGTCAGTATGGAAAACCCATCACACTCAGCACTGATAGTGAATAAGTTATTGCAGCTGTGCACATAAGGGAGTTTAGTCTGTCACTCTATTTTCTGAAGACTAAGGGGGCGCGAAACACGCATAAGGAACATGACTGGGCCCTGAACTGTCTAATTTAGCTGCTATTTTCTTTGACACTTTTATCAGTCAAGAGCAAGATGCTTCAGCAAAGAGCCTAAATATAAGCTGCTGAGAAGTATGGTAGTCTGCAGAAAAAAGTTAAACTTCCCTGTGTTTGAAGAGTTTCTTTTTTTTCCCAGAAAGTTTATATTCACTGACTGTGTCTGTGTTGCTGTATGGGTTGGATGGCTAGGATTTGGCTCTCAGCATAATTTTTGCCACTTTATTGTACCTCAGTGTTTAGTAAGAATAGGACTGCATTGCTTCTTACTAACTGTTATTGATACTCCTTTGAACAAGATGGCTTTTGTGTTTGACAATATATATTGTTTTATCCTTTTAGCTATTAGTTATTTTGTAATTCTCATTTCTATAAAGAGTAATTAAATATATTATGCACTAAAAGGAGTGATTGCAAAGGCAAGCATTCCAATTTTATGAAATGCCAGAATTAAGATTGCATCTGAAGTCCTCATTTGTTCCCTTTGTATACTTGTCTTAGATAATTGTCTGAATTGTGAGAACCCTTTTTTTCTCTATAACACCATCTTAATGATTTACTTGAATCCTCTCACCAGTGTAGACATAGGACTGCATACTTTCTCAATGGTGTTTATATTGTTGCATACAACCCGGTTTGCAAATTGTTACTATAGTAGCACACACAGCTACAGTTTGTGTATATTTTCATTATATAACTAATGTATGATATAAGTACAGCTTGCATTCATGAACAATTCAAGTATGGGTTTAATGGCAAGTTTCTTTAAAAAAACACTGTTCAAAATGTAATTGGAACATCTTTATAAAATAAACCTTTTACAGAATTTATTCTTAGCAGCATTTGTAAATAATTATCCTGCTGTTCCCCAAGATAAACATCAGTATTTGAGCAAAGTATAAATTGAAGCCAAAAGGTTAAAAGGGATTGCCTACAAAATCCCTAAATCCACATTGTGGAAACATGATTAGGAGTGGTCAAAATTACAAAATGCCTGAGTACTCAGAACTCCAAAATTAGATTATTTGAATGTTCATAACCTCTGTAAATGAAACTCCATAGTTTCTGTGCATCATGTAGACTCATAGTTTAGACAAATAACACAAGAGATTCTGAGAATTTAAACTAATGTTTACATCTTTACAGAAAGACAAGGAAGACCAGTGGCTAGAGAAAAAAGTACAGGGTAGTAGAGACCACATCATCTTAGAGCATCTTCAGTGGACTATGGGTTATGAAGTACAAATTACAGCTGCCAACAGACTGGGTTATTCTGAACCAACATTATATGAATTCAGCATGCCACCAAAGCCTAACATTATTACAGGTAAGTTGATTTTAGAGTGTTTTCTTTCTATGAATTGTTTACTACTTTTAGTACACTGACGTGTGTAGTTGAACATAAGGTAATAGAAGTCGTCTTTAACTGACAAAGCCCGAGGCCCCATACTCTATTATCAACAAAGACTTGATTCAAAACCCCTAAATGGGACCCCATTTCCTACTTTTCCCTTAGTAATAGTCATTTGTAAGTACAGAACAAGTATTGAATCTTCAACCCAGATGATGACAGTTAACAAGAAATATAGTATTTAAGTTATACCTCCTATACATTTTTAAATTGCCTTGTACTGCCTATTTGTCTGTTGTAAGCAACTTAGTTGTTAAAATTCTTGATTTCAGTCCCATCTGTACCTGTGCTTCAAGATGCACATGTAATAAAGGTATTTATTTTAGTGTCTGATGAGGTTAAGACTTCAAATAGTCTTGTTTAGATACTGTCTTACTGATTCACCCTAACATGGTGAGCATATAGCCTTGTATTAGGCCTATTTACAAGCTTTGAAATCTATAGAAAAGTCGTCCATATTTTTAAGTGTGTAAACGGGAAGGTCTGGTATTTTTTTAAGGAAAACTGCATAATAGTTAAGAGTCAGTGTGTTCCATTAACTAATTTATCAAGTTTTAATGCTTCGTAATGTAAAGTTATATTTTGGTGCAACAATGCAAAATTATTTCATTCAGAATAAACCCAAAATATGGTAATTTCTGATGTATTATGGGTTATTTTGATTTTTATAAAGCAAATGTTATGAGGAAAAGATTTCAAACTTATCTAAATTATGAGCTGATAACTTTAATAATAAATTCCAAATTAGATCAGTGTCATCATTACCATTTTAAAATCAGGTACTAAATCATCTAACATAGTATTTTCTGTATGCCGTAAATTAAACTATCAGAGTATTAGGATCAGATTAAAATCTTGCCAAATAAACATAATGGCCAATATATTAAAAGGTAAACCATATCAATACCTGTGTTTTAATCTGAGCATCTGACTAGCATTGATCTTGGTAAAGTGGCAATGAGTTTGAACGGGTCATAGACTACTGTGTCATCAGAAAAGTTTGAAATAACTGACTTGAAATTTTGTTTCTGTCTATTGCAAGTTTTCCTCAAATATATTCTCAGGGAAATTATCTCAAGATCTCTGCAACATTTTTTAATATTCCATAGCAATTTGTTGATATCAAAAGCTTTGTTACTTGCATTTATAGAAAGGAATAGGCATTTGTAATTCATTAATAGGTTCAGATCCAGTTTGAGTACAAATATTTGGTTTATGCACTTGAATTGCAGTAGTGAGAGTTGATTTGCATTTTGATTGATATTCAGGGCCTCGATAGGCCATGTGTACTTGTTTTTTAAACACATAAGGCTTTGTGATTGCCATCATTCAGAAATAAAATTTCACTACATGATTGAAAAAGAAAAGGGAAAAAGAAATATACGAAAGCTTATTGTCCCAAGGAAGTAAAAATATTTATCAAGTAGAAAAATAAATAAAACCTTATTTGGGCAAATGGAAGGGATAAGCCATTTTTCAATTTTGTATATTTGAAACACAAATGTTACTTGTTTTGCAATGCAATCTAACTTTAACCTGTTATAATTATTTAAAGTATTCCATTTTATTGCCACAACTGCTGTAACTGAGAGAAATATGATATGCCTCCGTAAATTACAACATAGGTGGTCTCTAAACATTTAAGTAAAAAGCAGCTTAGTTAATTCAGTTTCAGAAGATAGATAGAATATTTTTCTCTGAACACAGTTTTATAGGTATCTGGGGGCTTTTTCCTTTCAGTGCTCTCCCATAACCATAACTCCATAAGTAGCTGTAAGAAGTCTGTTACACTATTTAACATCAGATCTTTATATGAATCATTATTGCAGTTATGATTGTGGAACTAATTATTTTCTTTGTCAACTGTTTTTGCAAAGCCTGAAAAGAGGTTTTCATCTGTATGTGCCCAAGTCTATGGCACTTCAGCTGAACAGAGTGTTTCTGTCTTCCTCTAAATGTAATTAAAAACCAAGATATCTGTAGATCCTATGCGTGCAATCTCATGGATATTACTTATCCCAAGAGAATTTTGGGATCCTCTAAGTATCATGATGTTTAACTATACCTAACATATTATTCTGGTGAAAATGCATGCAAGCTAATGCAATTAATCAGAGAACTGGACAGAGATGGAGGCAAGGATACATTTATTGTCCTTTGATAGGTGCCTGGGATGGGAAAAGGGAGTTGTCACAAGAAATAAAACTTTAGTTCTGATTGCTGCAGAAGGAGCTTGTTTATGCTTTCAAGAGCCATTGGATATAAGGCAGAAGTAGTAATCCTTGAGGGCAGGGACTGGAAGCCAAAACCCTACTTACGTGAAGGCATAACTCCTATGGGCACTGAATCCACAACTTCTGCTTGCTAGGGAAGTGTAAGCAAGTACCAGCTCATGGCTGGCAGTCAAATTCTATAATAACACAATATGATGATCTTCCATTAGCTGTCTTAGGTCTAGGAAGGAGCTTGAGGCTGCAGATTGCTGTCTGGCATCAGTGAGGAGTATAAATGAGACAGACATTCCTTTAAAATTTCACCTGGTTGGCCTCAGCAGCCTCCAACTCTAGATGGACTTGATTTTGTAATTCTGTTCCTAGGCCTGTAACACGGTCTCCATTCACTGAATCACTCAAATTTGTTATTAGTTCTTCAGAATTTGTAATCCTTTTAATGAAAGTTTCCTGGTTTTCTGAAGGGTTTATCAATGGAACCTCACACTGACTTTGAAAAACACTCAACAAACCAACTTCTTAAAACTCTTTGCCTTAAACAAATGTATGTATAAATATATTCATATATGTATATATGTGTATACATATATACATTACTGTATATTATATCTATGTATATATAATTTTACTTCTTACTTTCTTGAGTTATTTTTTGCAGTCAGCAATTCCATCTTTGTATTTCAGATTTTACTTAGGCGTATGAGCATGTATTTAAGAATCATGCTTTGAAGAAAGAGTGGCATAATCTTAAATTTAGTAATTTATATATTCCAAAACCTCACTAGGGGTGTTAGCTGGCAGTACTTGTAGGCAGGTGCAATTCTAACATTGTTGTGCTTGCCTCTGAATGAAGTCTTTATCAGATTTTAGTTACTCATTTGCGATATTTTTGAAAATTTTGTTCTGGCTTCTCTATAGTGTTAAGCTGCTTCTAGTTCTGTGAGAAAAAAAGGGGATTCTCAAAGGAGTTGTGTGCTTTAGCTCTTAGCTCTTTATCGGTGTTAGGACAGCATAGACTAACCTCTACAGCCATAACAAACCCTCTGACTAGGTGTCACTGGGAGCAGCCAAACTCCATCAGCTCCTGGAGCTGACATTACAGTGCCTTTGTATGGGTCCATTTACTCTTTCTCAGCAGGGCAGAGATATCCTGTCTGTGTACCTTGCAGCTGGTACAAAAGTGTCCAAACCAGCTGTCATTCTGAACCACTACTATTGTAACCTAAAAACACATCTACAGTTTTATATTAAATTAATCTTAAAAGAAGATGAAACGAAAGATGTTAAAAGAGGATACTTTCTGCAAGTGTTAGATATATTTTCAGAAATTAGTGGCAGAAGATTAATGCAGGTGCTGTCTTCCAAAGGCTTTTATCCAGTCAGTGCTGTTTCTCTGGAAGGCCAGAGGATATATTAAAAACGGCTGCAAGTTGTGTCTTATCATAAGTTTTTTCTTCTTAATAGTGGGAAAATGAGTAAAGCATTTGGGGATAATAAGAAGCCCTTAGACCTATTTTTCTCACTTTGCAATATTGGTTGGTTTGTGTTTTTTTAACTTCCAATACTGCATGAACTATTGGAATTTTTTTTTTTTTATTAACATCCCTGGAAAAGTTTTAGTCCATTGTGCATCTCTTTTTTCAATGCATGTCTGTCACCAATGCTTAAAATCATATAGATAAAGAGGGACAATCTAACGCATGATATTTTCACTCGTCATCACTAGTAGCAAAGATTATATTCTTCATGCCAAACATGATTTTTATCAGTAGTTTTTACAAAAATGCAGCTTCAGCATCTCCAGTGGTGTCAAAATGAATGAAAAATAAAAATAGCTCTTATCAATGCTTTGGGTATGTGTGTGTATATATATGTATTTGAATTTGTGTATGTACATTTTATGATATATTACATAGATAAAATAGGGCTTTTGAACTATACAGAAAGTGTTTTATTGGACAGGAAGCTAGGATAATGAACTTCTTCATCTAGAGACTGAAAATTACTAAGTACAGAAAAATAGAAATGTCTCCCTCATGCTCACAATTTTCTCTAAAGGACAAGTCCTTTTCTTTAATTTTGCTCTCAGTCAAGCAATTCATTGACTTTTTTGGGGTAGAAAAAAATTCTGTATGATCCCACCTGTGTAGCTGGAGTAGGTTTTTGTTCCTGTCACATCTTGCTGCCAAACAGCAGACTCTCTTGCTACAGGTGCTCTCCTTGTCTCTCACATCCCTTCAACCCTGACCCATAGGCTGCGAGAGTCTCCCTGGGGCACAGTCTCCCTAGCTCTGAAGGGAGGAGTAACCTCCCTTTTCTCTAGAAGCATTGACTTGACCCTGACAAGGCATCAGCTAAGAGAAGCCAAGAAGCAGCCTTCTTCATTCTTGTTCTGTATGCCACCACAAAAGTACATAACATTTGTTGACTTACTGTAACTATGAATAAACTTCCAATCTGAATAGTTCTTGTGTCCTTTGAAGCATTTTCCTTAGATTTCAAATCATTTCAGATCTGTTTGAAATTATATTTTACCTGATTACAACCAAGCCTCAACGTCAGGGTAACACATAAAAGCGTGCTTGCGTGACCAAGGCCTCTGCTCCCATTACCATTAGCCTTCCTTGCCACAAGAGCACGTTGCTGGCTCATGTTCAACTTGGTGTCCACCAGGACCCCCAGAGC